TTGATGTATTTTACATTTTAATGCTATTTACATTTTTCTGCATTTCCTTTGAAAAATACTGCAGCAAAGTAATTGGAAACTCTTGTTCTCTTAAAAAAATTAACATATGCTTGAAGGCTAACCTTGACTGTACCGGTTTGTGCAGTTGTGGTGGAAATTACAACTAAAAGAACCTTTATTCAGCTAGTGTTTTTAAAAGCAGGCTTAGGAACGTTACAGCCGAGAAAGCTGTTTTTCAAAACGTTTCCTTCAGACCAAAAAGTTCGGCTAGTGTTGTGACATACCTGATCTACTCCGGCATATTTGAAAGTTTCAAACGCTGATAAATAGAAAAAAAAAGAAAAAGTGGGAAAAGAATGTAATTTAATAGATAATATTTTGTTTCTTTGTTTGTTTGTTTGATTGTTGGTTGGTTGTTTTTTTTTTACTACTGCTACTGGCATTTTAATTTAGAAATGATCCTGCAAACCTCAATGAAGGAATCTTCATCTTCGAGAACACTTAGTAGTTTGTTTTTAATTCTGATTTCTTTGGTAGTTCTGAGAATGGTGATGATTTCATCAGTGCGTATTGCTTTGCTGGTAACTGAACATAATGGTCACGTGACTACCACGTGACATAATTTAAGACTCAAAGGCAATGGTTAATTTGTTGTTGTATTAAAAGAGTAAGACACTAGGCATAGTAGTCCCAGAAGGCAAAAAAATTGGTATTTTGCATCAGCCTCGTTTCCATGTAAGGGCCTTGTGTACCATATTTTTGACATGGGCGTTCCATGGTTCTGGAAGANCTCAAAGGCAATGGTTAATTTGTTGTTGTATTAAAAAAGTAAGACACTAGGCATAGTAGTCACAGAAGGCAAAAAAATTGGTATTTTGCATCAGCCTCGTTTCCATGTAAGGGCCTTGTGTGCCATATTTTTGACATGCGCGTTCCATGGTTCTGGAAGAAAATTTGGCATGGCTCCACATCAGGATATATTTGTCTAATAGAGGTTAGTAACCCTGCCAAGTTTGATGCTTTTATCAAAAAACGAACAATTTTGTCCCTTAACAGCTGGACTAGATCAAGGGTTTTAGAGAAAAGGTGAATGAAACACAGGTATCAAAAACTGTGTTCAGCCACCTTAAATAGACATATTATTTAGTCGCCATCGCGCCAACGTTTAGATTTTCCCGCCAAAAGGATTGCCGCGTCGCTCTCCATTTTGGCGGGAAATTACAGCGAAGCGGAATGGCTGAAAAAGTTCGTGAAAAGCTCCACAAAAATGCCGGCAAGGTCAAGTTTCATTCTATTAGCGGCTCATTTTGTGTTACCATTGCTCCAGCCATTGAACAGCAACGCATTTATCTACGATGATGAAGGAGGAATGGTCGAAGCCGTAGTATTCGCAGACTTTTCTACTCAATTTAACGAGCCATACAATCTGCTTTACTTTAAGGCTGCCTTTCTTGATCTTCATTGTCAGTTGAGAAATCGAAGTAGTGATACTCAAATTACTCGAAATGCGTTAGTAAATCAGTATTACACACAAGGTATGTCTCCAACGGTCACGTTTATCACACTGGACTGGTCAAAATCCTACAAATTCGACGAACTTATCGCAGACGAAAATGTCTACTGGAAGTTGAATATTCCAAAAGACGAGCTACTTGCACAGTGCGAAGAGACACTCAGTGGAAAAATTCCTTGGACATTCAAAGTGGAGCTAGGGCAAGGCCTCAATTTGTTTGAATGTTGGGGGACTGTTGTAATACCAGACATTGAGCCATTACTTTCGGTCCAACTCGGCGACTCCTTGGCCGACTCCAAAGAAATTTCTGCGCCAACAGATGTTATAGTTTGGCAGCATCCTTGCACTCCAGGAGTTGCAGTTTTAGCTCCTTTGTTCGAGGTAAAGCAGTCTTTCACAGGTAAGCCGCTATCGAGGAATAATTTCCCATTTGTCTAATCTGTTAAAGTGTAATTTTTATTTTGTTTCGGAAATAAGTAATGTAGGAGAGGCAATCATGTTAGCTTACTTAGTAATATTTCCAGCTGTAACTGTCAGCAAGTCGTTGCTGTTGTCGTTTAGTACTCTTTGCCTGTCGTTTGTGTTTTCGTTTTTATTTCAGTTAAGCTTATCTATCTTTAAAAGATTTTCAGACCGGTACATTTTATTTTAATCGTGTGAATGATCAGCAGAGAATCATATTTAACAATTAGACCCGTAGCCCTTGCGGGCGACGGGTCAATAGCCCATGAGGCGAAGCCGTGGCCCTTGAGGGCGAAGGGTCTAATTGTTTTAGTATCACCCTACTAGTCGGGCAGAAAAGGCAATAATAAAGTTAGCAAATGCAAGTTGAAGAAATATTTATTTGGGAATAAAACGAAAGAAAGCGTCACGCTCGATGGCGCCAATTTCGCTACTCGAGGACTAATAGTCCTCTAGTAGCGTAGCCAATTAAAATGCAGGTTTTGCATTAGTCTATTAGTTGGGTGATACTAAATATAAATAACAGCCTTCTGCTGTTGGTTCTGTTGTCGTTTTTGTTTTAATCTGTTTGATGTACGCTCTTTTTTGTAAGAAGATTGTTTTTCTCGCCGAGACTGAATATTCGTATTTTTCTGTCGATTTTAGGCTGAAAATATTCTTGTGAATATTCTTATAGATTATAGCGTATGACATTTCAGTCTTCGAATGTATTTGGTGTCTGGATGGTGTTAAAGTAATTTTGCAGCCAGCCTGCAGGCATCAAACCCTGGTATCAAGCAGAAATGTTTATAGTAGCATCGAACATACGGCTAGTGGTCTTTTTGTTTCTCTATGGCTAGTTTTGCCGTTTAGAGAAATGAAGAGTTTTATACGGTTTTATATTTAAAAGCATATAGTTGTATTGTATTTCAGCAAATTATAAGTACAAAAAATTATATTCTTTTCAAAATCTCGGCCTTGGACTTATTATTGAAATATTCTTAAAATTTCACCAAATTTCAGCCTCGATATTCTTATAAAACTTCCGATAAAAAAGACAGAGTGTAGCTGTGTCTATAATTCACACTCTAATGTCACAAATTATCGATCTATCAGTTGCTCTCTTATTTCTTCAGGAGGTTACCTGGCAGTTACTCATGGAATTTTCAAGCCAAATACAACTCACTGGTATGATCTTCTCCACCGTTCGTCTGGTCACCCAGACAACTATTCTATTTGCAAGGAAGTTTCATTTACCGCTTGTGAGAAGCTATCAATTTTGGACTTCACCGTGGTTGACAATTACATTTTACTCGTAACCACAAAAGGCCTGATTAGGTCGGAGTCAATGGATGACGTTGCCAAAGGCTTAAACAAGACTAAGGTACACTCTTTATAGTAGAGTGACATAAAGTGCAGTTTTGGTTGGAGCGACAACTGCCTCGAGAACTCCCCACCCCCAATCGCGCACACACACACCCTAGATGAGATACATACAAGATGCTGGTACATTGCAGGTCACCCTAAGGTTTTCCCGAACACTTTTATCAAACTCCTGCAACATAACTGCCGGGAAATTTACTCTGACGACAGACCGAGCCCGGAGTAGTCATTAAGCCATCGAGTCTCCCATAATATGAATTTACCTAAAATTCACCTTACTCTATGTCAATGGTGTTTTAGACCAATCTTTTCTTTTTTTTCGTTTTTCCTTTCCCTAAGCTCAAGTTATACCAGGTGACTAATATTCACTCGATAATTGATCAAGCGTTCAAAGACGGGACCGTAGAGCATGGCAGGATCAAACTATACCATTCAGCTCAATGCGACGGACACGATATTTCAATCAAAGACCACTTAACGAATTTGATTTATACACCGGCTCATGACGAACCTTCCATACTTCTTGCAAGTGAACCTCCATTTGATAACTGGTCGCCTTTTGAACTGGTCAATCCACTGAAGGAGTTTCCAGTGCTTGGGGTGGCATTAGACATTCCAAGAAATACAATGGTCCTACTTATGAAGGAGCCTAACAAGGTAAAGCCTATCAATTAACTTTCTATTTTGTTTGACGATGGCTGCAAGGCCGTTGTAAGTTTTGTATATGTGTAAGAGTTAAAGGTAAACTTTGATCTACACAAAACTAAATTATGCTGATCAAAGGCTGTATGGCAACGTTGTTTAAAACTAAAATCTCGAGTGTTTGATTCCCAGGACTGTTGCAATGACGATGAGGCTGAGAATGCTTCAGAGATTAACGTAATTTTCACGGAAATTATAAATGATTTATTATTACGAACAATTATTTGACCTTGTACAGAAGTTATTAGGCTCAGTTCTCATATCAACACCTCATTTCTTGCCGAAAATAGGCAAGCTTTGTTATAAAATCACGGGAGTAAAGATGGAAGTAGTTTTCATTCATTTTGTATTTTTATTTTTAATTGATTGACACTTCACCAACAATGAGAGGGGCTTTATTTCGGCTTTGAAGTGATACTCAACAGCAGAAGACAGAAAGAGGGAATAACGACGTTATCAATTAATCATAACCGTCTTTTTTCAGGACTTTTCATGTGTTGTACATTCTTTTTGTCTGTGGTTCCAGGTCCGTTCCTTGGTCGCAGTCCTTGATCCAGTGACTTCCCAACTCTTGCAACCCGTTTTCCAATTCCCAGAGAATGCAACCTTAACAAAGATCACTTTCCACGCTCACACTCATGTCATATATGTCTACGGATCCCAGGTAGGCTGATATCGTTTAACCAGTTAGATAAACTAGGTAAAACCGTCGGGAAAGCTGGAATAAACAGCAGGCAGCCGCCATGCGTGGAGAGTCTGCAATAATGGTTTTTCGAGTCTCCAGGGTTTTGTTGTTTAGTCAGTTTACACTCTTAACTCCAGTAAGCCATCGTAGTTAAGCTCAAGAAGCTGACCTTGTGAGCGTCTGTGCCCTCCTTAGTCGATCATAGTTCAGATAACTTTTTCCCACTACGATGAGTCTGGTAAGATAAGTTTCCTCAATTCCAGCTTTTGGGTATGGTAGCTGTTTTGGTCGCTACCGGCCTTTCGTTTGAGAAAAAGAAACCGGATTGTATCGTGGACTTTACAAAATCACATTCTAAATAAAAGATTACAAAGACCTATTTTGGGGTATACAGGTGTGGCTATCACTTGACGGAGGGAACTCGTTTGAGACTTTGCTGGATACACACCTGCGAGGTGATTCAGTGTCATCATTGTTTGCTAACAGCCTTGGGGACGCTTTTGTTTTGGTTACAAGTCTCGGCGCTTTGTCCAGTGGCTGGTCAGGCTTTCCACGAGTCGGCCAGATTGAAAAAGCAACTACGTCTTCTAACTGCTCTTTCAAGATTGCTAGCTTCCAGCATCGAAAGTCCGTCGACATAGCTTGTATACAAAACACCTCTAATGTGCTTACCCTTAAAACTTATTGCGTTGATTTAGCTTCACAGATCAAAGCGGACAGGATTGTAATTTTCAGACCACTTCTCGTTAATTTTTTTTCTGAAAGAGAAGTAGAATTTTTGGCTTTTTGCGGTGACGCCTTTTTCACAGATCATATTGGATGTGTTGACTCATTTCAGCAGTCTGACGTTGGACGCGTCCTAAGAACAAGAAACGGTGGTTCGGCTCTAATCACTGGAGTGCAGCACACTACCGTTACAAATGACTTCAGTGCACGTGTCACAGGTCTCGTCATTAAGCCAATTGCTACTGTAGACAAATCAGACTCCCCTGCTCTCCATTGCACCCTTCAAGTAAACATCAGTGGTGTGTATGCTTATTTACAGCTGCAAAACTCGGTGAACGATTCAGGTTGGCGAGGTGAAGACATTGGTAAGACACTTCGGCTTTCCGGTGGAATAAGCCTTATTGTAACAGCTTGTAAAAGTCTCACGTCTGCTACTGGTAGGCTGCCAGCATCATGGAACGACACAGAAACTTACATCGGTGTTTATGAAGAAGGAACTTGGTTCCTCATAGATTTACGGCCTTTTCATGCGTTTCGTCCAGTTAGCTCTCCAATACTTCGTGTATACCAAACGGATAATGGTAGAGCTCAAGCTGATATAGTAAATGACGACCAGTTCTTATTTTCAAACGAAAACGTTGGGGATGTTCTGAAATATGAGCGCGGATGGGGTGTGATCACATCTGTTGTCAATGCCTCAGTCAGTATCCTAAAGGCTGGGATACTGTTACCCGGGAACTTTACGAACAACTGGGGTATTTACAAGGCAGACGCTACAGTGAGCAGGGAATCGTACATCCCTTACATTCCAAACCCTCAGTTTCAAGGCTGGTGGCTGGCAGAAGACGAGTGCCGGCATTTCCTTGTTGAAGACCCACCCAGTAGACTTAAGCTCTACCATATGGATTCCGGCGAGAGCCTTTCCTTCACATTCCGCGCCACAAGTAAAGGAATTACCGATGAGAACCCTTCAAAACCTTTGCTAAGGGTGTATATTGGAAACACCCTGTTGTTTTATGTCGAGTCATCGTACCAGTACTCCAGCATGAACCACACCCTGGAAGTCACTCTAACCAAACGACCCTTTATAAGTGGAATATCTTCGATCAGCGGGAGGTTACATCAAACTGCTTCTCTGTTATGCAAGAAAGCTTCCTATACTGTGCACGGTGACTGTCCACCGACTAAAATGCTGCGTTTCTTATACCCTTTATCATTTTCTCTGGATGACTTTTTAAATGCAGAAATCGCTGACTCTAAAGGTATTGTAAGGAACTTGAAGCTACCTTTCAACTACAGAGCTCCCTCCCCGAGGGGTAAAGCAATACCAATGTCGAAAAATGCTTATAATGTCGACCCACAGAAACCTCTTTACAAGACCACGTACGCCATAACACGAAGTACACTGAGATACAAACAATGTCAAGGGAAAGATCGTCGCTCTGATTGTGGGTGTACTAATCAAATGAGAGGATCATCTCTTGTTAAGCATTCCGACTGCATCGATACTGTTTACCGCATGATGTTTAGTGAAACTCTCACTCCGCGCTTTGTTGTGTTACAAGAGGACAGGGTAGAAAAACCGTTGCGCTTTCCGTTTTATCTTGAAGAACTAAATCAAAGGAGGGATTTCACGATACTTTCACCTAGTGACTTGACTTTCTCGGGTCTATCGTCACCAGTGCTAAAACAGGAACTTAACAGCTCTATACAGTTTGAAGGATCGGGACTGTACCACTTTCGCGCCCGCGTTGTACAAGAAAACTACACATTCTGTGCCCTGACCGACGACTTCATGGTGTTTGTGGTTGATACTCCTTTACCTTTTCCAGTTAATGATGTGGTGCGGGCTTGTACTGGAATGGGATTCGCCACTTTATTATTTTTTGTTTACATGCGACACTTTCATGGGAAGAAGAAGATGAAAAACGATTAGAACTAACTTCCTTTTTCCTATTAGTTTGATGACAACGCAAAAATGTCATATATTTTACTAGACGCACTGCTATCCTGTGAAATATCGTCTGAGAGTTATCAGCTTTTTTTCTCTGTCGTCAGAAAAATCAGTTAAACTAGCTTCTAATTATATAATTGTTTCGAAAGTTTTAGTTTCTTTTCCCTCCGGAATATGTTTATATCCAGGGGATTAACTTTACCAGAATAACAAAATAATTAGCAGTTTGTGTTATCAGAGCTCTGGTTTAACATTACAATCGAAAAAAAGTCGGCAATGGCGATGAGCTCTTCGGCTGCAGGTTTACATTATCTGTGGAACAAAGTTTATTGAGCTTTAGATCGAAAACCTCGCCGATCGAAAATTTTATATAAGCCTTAATCTTAGACAGTGATCTTTGCTTTCTAATCAGGGTGGCGCGCGCTTCATAGAGAGCTTAGACGAATAGTACTGTGTTGTCAAATCCTGTTAGTTCTTGTATTGGCAATTATGTAAACGCGTTACGTAATATATTTTTTTATTGTTTAACGAACTAATATACGTCTACAAGCTTTAACAGACCTCCAAAACAATCAGATTTAATTGTTGACCAAGAAAAGGCTCAGAAAGCCCCAATACAAGGTAATACACTTGTTTCGTTTTCTACTGGCTCCTTTCGAGATAAAAGCTTACATGAGCCACAATAAAAATAGGGAACATTCAGGTATCATTCACACTAGTTTTAATATGATGTTTAAGTGTGTTTTCGACACGTTTTGCAATTTGCATGTTTGTTTACTTCCCGGAGGGTCTATTATTTGCATACGAATAAAAGCATCCACTTGTCGAACTATTTGTTGTCACAAACTGGCATCCATTGATTATCACATGTTTGTTTACTCCAATGACGTAAAATCCAAGTTTAAACACTGTCTAGCCAAGAGAAATCAATTCTTCTAGACAGAATTGTTCAGTAAATGAACGTTGGTGTCTATTTTTGTCCAACTGGCATAAAACCTTTATGGAACACAATAACAAGCAAGGCAAAATTATCTTTAAAGAACTAAAAACATGACGAAGGGAAAACATGTTCTTTATAAGTCACGGTGTGAATTCATCTGCAAATCCTGATTATTTTGGCAAATCGAATTATTTGTGCAAGCAGAAAACATGTTAATCAACGAGAAAGTTAAGTACATTAAATGTAAAAGCTTTATTCTTTGTGTACAGAAGTTAATTGTTTTATGTACAATTCGATAAATGAGGTATTTTTGCGGCTCCTAAACAAACAACCCTTTAACCAAGACATGACTACTGTTCATATGAACGAAAGACAGTCAACAAGCAAAGACGTCAGTTTGAACTTCAGTGACTGTCCCCCAAAGCCGCATAAAATCAACATTGTCTGTGCGTGTTCAGTAGCTTTTATGCAGAGGTAGCTTCAATTTTTGAGCCCGGGCTCTGGGATAAATGGACAACAAACCGTTAAGCCGTGTCTCTGGAAAACAAACATTGCTGACAAGAAGGCTGGATTTGTCATGTGGGTTAATCAAGAAAGAAAACGAGCAGAAAAATACGGTACGGTGAGTATTGAGAATGGTACAAGGCCAGACTGGAACGAAGTTCGAGCTAAACCACGCCGAACAAGTGCCCCGGCCGAGTTACCCCCAATTAAGGATGGACAACCGATGGTAAAGATTAAAACAAGGGCGTCCACACTTTTATTACGAGGAGAAAACAATGAAATGCACACAAAGCAGTGGAACACAACTAGAACACATGTAAATGACTCCGTACTTCAAAAAAGGATCAGCGAAATCCACTCCACAGTTCACGGTTCTGTCAAAGCAATTTGCATCCCAGTCGCTGACTCAGAACAGAGACCCTTATCTGCATGGACCAACAGCAACAATTCTGTTGAAACACAATGTCTGGGAATTAACAATGAAAATAGTCCCTTAAAACATGCCGGGAAAGGTATTGGTCGCAAATGCTTGACTCAAGAGGCACTCATATGTCACGAACTTGGGTATGCCGAGGACGAGGACGAGGACTCAACTAGCCAGAAAAAAGACATGATAGTTCGGTGGTTAAATTCCGAGGTATTTTAAAAGCAGCAGTGCCAGGCAAGGATTGGAAAAGTCTCGAGCTTTCCCGCAGTTCTAACGATCATTCCTTTCAGCAGAAATATAAAATATATACAGACGTGTAAATGCCTTCGCGAGGGAAATGTACTCGCATTTGGTATCTTTCACTTCGGCGAGATTTCATGTACAAAGTTGGATCCGATAGGTGTCTTTATTAGTGCATATGGTGTGAGTTTATTATCACTTAGGACTTTTACTAAACATAACATAAACAATTAAAAGTTCCATATGTTCCCATTACATAACGCTCCAGCTGAATTTTAACAATTTATGTTAAGGTAAATAGACCCATAAATGCATGTTGTTTTGTCATTACTGATTCATTACTCGGTTGTAAAGCAACACAAGTATAATTTTTACTGTAGTACCAACTCTCCAAATATTGGAGGGGGGGGGGAGTATCTCACATACAGGAATGGATTGCTACAGAGAGCTTAGCTTTGGTAAACAACAAGCGTATCCCTTAAGGACAACCCGGCGTTGTAATGTTCTGGCTCTTTTGAGCCCGTCGCCCTTTTCAGCTTAGATGATAAGATATTTTTCTTCCAGGTCAACAGGCGTGCCATTACTGCATAACAATCCACAAGCATTCCCATTAAATTTACTTAAATCTGTGTCGCTGAAAACATCCATCCTTGGCTTTTTTTAAGTACCTCCTTACCACCCACTGAACTAAAAAGTTCAATTTTCGAAACTGAATCGTGTTTTTCGCATGCTGAAGTAGGCCATAAAGCCGGCGTTTATCCTTAGTTTCATTAGCATGACGCAGGGTTACCCCCCAGTAACTAAATTCATGTCTCTGGTGTCCAGTTACAAACCTGGGTGAAGAAGGGCACTGTAAGAATAAAATGCCCCCCAAAAAACGCGACGACCGCTGCCGCGCCGCTCGATCTATAGTCCAACATTTTAACCATTAGGCGACCGCCCTTGCACTGTTTCTTTCACGGGGCTTTTCAATATTTTAAATATACTATCCACCTGAATTCCGCCTCACCTCACTTTGTTTACATATTTTTAAGGCGAACTTTATGGTGACAAAGATTTAACCGATTTCGTTGATGTTTGCCATTAATGTTTAAAGTTTAAGAACGTTTTATTTATTTTTGGTGAATCTAAAAGTGCATGAGATATTGGCATGCTTTAAAGGCGCATTTTTGCCAAAAAAAATCCCATTATTTTGAAATCCAACGACCGATCTCCTCCCGTCTTTATAAAGTAAGCCTCAGACCTCTCACGTTGTCTAATTGCAAGTTTAATGTGGCAATGCTGGTTGCTGCACAAAACATTGGTTAAAGGTACTCTGAAAATTATATGCTAAGTGTGTTTGTATTTGCTGACGTGCAAATAGCGGAAGAGTGCAACCAGAGTGTCAGCATAATCGCTTATGTCAGTAATGTGAACCAGGCCATGATAAAAAGATCACTCTTTCCTAATTTCGTTATGTTCATGCATGCTGTTATGTGGCTATGATGCCATAATGTCAGGATGTTCACACTGCAAACATAACGACATAACGTCCTCCTTATGTCGTTATGTTTGTGTCGTTATGTCGCTTATGTGAACCAGGCCTTGCTTAGTATCTTTCACGATCTTTCAGTATAGCTGAAGTATAGATGCGGTATTGCCTGGCTGCACCCTTCCGTTATTTGCGCGTCAGCTAACGGCAGTACACTGGTAGTAGTTTCAGAATGATATTACCCAAAACTTTATGTAGCGAAATGTAAGGCTGTAATTTACGTAACGTGAGAGCGATGAGGCCTGTTTTATAACGTAACCGAAAGATCTATAGTAAAAACGTTCTGTGGCTAAAAATAGTTTAAAACCCATGCTTTGAACTGCCTAAACTGAAGTCTTAAAACCGTGAAGACTACAGCTTTGGCTCTCGGAAACTTGTGTTTGTAAAAAAGATTTTTTAGCCAGAGAACGTTTTAAATGTTACTATGATTCATTCTGGCTGCGGTCTCTCGATATTTTCAAAAACTCTGTCGTTGCCGGATTTCGAAATTAATGGCAGTTCGTGTACAAATGAGGTTCTAAAAATATGATAATATCTCAAACAATTTTACTCCCACAAAAACAGATAAATTGTATCTTAAATTTCAAGGATGCTTTACTCAGGACGACTAAAATTAAAGAAATCAGGGCGTGGCACAATCCCTTCTCGACGATTTAAGTGTGGGCTTTCAGTAAAGCTTTATTACAAACTACCCAAACATATTTACGTGCAAACGAACGGTAAATATATTGCTGACAAAGATATCTTCCCAGTTGTTAAGCAACTTTCAAGCTAGTGGAAAATTCTGAGAGAATTTAGCCTTAGAAGAAATTCCAACTTAGAACGCCTGGCTGGTCGATTGCAAGTTATATTTATATAACTGTGAAGTGATGAATAATTCATTCTGGCCCTAACTAGTTGAATCAACATTTTTTCTACCACAAAGGGCCATGGTCATAACCCATCAAACTCCTTTATTTTCGATATCAAAAATATTAGTAACATTAAATTTTGTCCACATTCTAAGTACCACAAAATTTTAGGGTTAGAGCCCTTACAAAGGAATTAGTACCAACTACTGACTGGTACATTGATGTACTTTAATTTTTCATTTTTTTGTGTGCACATTCATTTTTTTCTTTTTCGTTCTCTGTATGTGTGTCTGTGTCTGTGTGTGTGTGTGAATGAAATCGTGTCCTGTTTTTTGTTTTCTTTGTTTGTTTTTTTTTTCCATATATTCTGTAACTTTATTGCAATATTTTTTCCGCTTGGCCCAGCCACTTAGCTCGATTAGCCTTAGCTATTTCTAAGTGGCTGTGCTCTGTTTTTCATTGTTATTTTTTCACATTGCATGTATTTATTTTTACTGTAAAATTTTTCTGGGCAAGAGATAAAGATTGTTGTTGTTGTTGTAGTATCAAGAAATGCGGATCAAATTCGAAAGCAATAGCTATTGTTAAGTTTTA